GGAGCCTGTCCCACCTCCGTAGCAGCACTAAGAATGTCCAACTAACGGTTTAGACCCGATCCCTTGGGGGCCTAAGTCTTTAGTCGGACATCCCCTGAGGGCTTCCTGGCTGCCAGAAGGATGTCTGACTGAAAGCTTAGGCCTGATCCCATGGGGAGTGGCCTAAGTCGACAGGTGGACATTCCCCAAGGGGTCCTGGACTGTGAATGGGCGCAGGCCGGGCTGAGTGACACCCCTCCCCCCGAGTGCACAAACTTTTGTGCACTGAGCCTCTAGTTGGTTAATAAAATTATATAGGTTTCAGCTGTACAATTCCATAATACATCATCTGTACATTGTATTGTGTGTTCACCACCCCATCCATCACCAAGCCTCCTTCCATCACCATTTGTCCCCCCTTTACTCAAGAAGAGGATAAAGGGGAGATACATAGTCCTATATAATAAAAGGCTAATATGCAAATTGACCGAATGGCGGAACAACTGGTTACTATGACGCGCACTAATCACCAGGGGGCAGATGCTCATGCAAGAGCTGCCCCCTGGTGGTCAGTATGCTCCCACAGGGGGAGCGCTGCTCAGCCAAAAGCCGGGCTCACAGCTGGCAAGTGCAGCAGTGGTGGTGGGAGCCTCTCCCGCTTCCACAGCAGCACTAAGGATGTCAGACTGACGGCTTAGGCCCGCTCCCCTAAGCTGTCAGTCGGACATCCCCCAAGGGCTCCCAGACTGTGAGAGGACACAGGCAGGGCTGACGGACCTCCCGCCCCTCCACCCAGTGCACGAATGTCATGCACGGGGCCTCTAGTTTCTTTATAAAAGGAAGAGAAGATGCACTGTTTAAAACATTGCATGAAAAATAATTTTAGTCAATTTTTTTGCTAATATGCAAAGCTAGTACTACAGTCACTAGTGTTACAATCAGTGATTGAATAGAAATCTTGTCTTCCTTTTTGCCTTTAACTGACCCAAAAATTAAAAGTTAAAAACATCCCTTTGGCTTGTCATTTCTAATTACTTCTCTTATTTACCAATCAGGTTGACAACAAACTTTTGCTTTGCTTTTATTCATTCAGCTATCAATATATCTTCATTTAATTTGTGTGTTTTTTCTGCATTTACTATGTGCTCATTTCTCTAAGGATATTTCTGTAGTTGATCCCTATGTTCCAAATGCCCAAAGAATTTAGGTTTTCCTTCAATTTTGACAGGGATTATTATCTGAAATTTTATATAATGCTAATGACATCTTTCCAGTTAAAATACAGACATCTAGAAATAGATTCTGTGACCTTCCAGATAGGAATTAAGTGCCAGGTACCAGCAGTTATAATGTCAAGGAGCAGAAAACTACGACAGGATAACAGAAATGACATTTCTACCTCCTGAACTCTTGTCAAGATCCTCTGGCAGGTCAAGGTTGCCTGCTCCACTCATTAATTCTTTATCCCACAATTCCCTCACGCAATGAAAATTATGTTTTACAGAATTATTCCAAAGATATAGGTCTACAAATGTGTTATGCTTTAATAGTCTGCTTTTGGGGATGGAAGAGGCTTCACGAGTGCCTGGAGCTTATTCTACGTGCTCCTGACAACTCCTAGAGGTTATGGATGCTCTCTGAGTTAAAAACAAAAATCCCATATGTGCATACTCTATTTGAATTCACTCTAAATGAAGAAAACCAGCTTCCTAGTTTGAGGAAAAGCAAAAACTACTATTAAAAGGGGTTAAAGGTATAATAACTAGCTTATCTCAAAAGTCTCAAAATGAAAACGGTACCAATTATAACCTTTTATTCACCGTTTACAGATGACTCATCAGCTCAGCAGGCAACATATTGGACTCATTTCATTTCATTTGCACTGAAGACAGGTACAGAAAAGAGCAGGGCTTGGACTTTGGACTCAACAGACCTGACTTTGACGCGGGGTCCCATCTTCCACTCACTAGCTGAGTAGCCTTTAGAAGGACTTGCAACCCCCTGAGTCACAGAGTCCTCTGTGTGTTCAGTAGGAACAATGCCCACTATGACCCAGGGGTGCCCGAGAGGAAAACATTAAGCAACATCTATGGCAGTGCCTAACAGTATTTGGAACAAGATAGGTCTGAATTAGTATTAGTTCCTCTTTCACACCCCACCCCGTGGGTCTGGGCAAAGCAAATTTGCTTTGGTGCTTTGAAACATGAACTTTCTCCCCTCCCCCTTCAGAACGCATTCTCTAAGTCATCACAAATCTAAGAAGAGACATTAAGAAACGACTTCACATGGAAGTAGCTATTTAACATGAGCGTCTGGGGAGATAAAAACGAATAATTCTATGTTCCGGCTAATTTAATTGTATTAACAATGAAGATACCGAATTTCCCTGTGTCCCTCTGACATTTTTATATGCTAAGGAAAGCTCCAGCGTTTTCTGATTTAGAGAGCCCTCAGGCTACTTGACAGGACGTGGGATCAATTCCAACTGCGATTCCTGATCTGCCCCCGAGGCCCCTTGCTCTCTAAACAAGGCTGGTGGGTCAATGATGGAAATACAATTCTTTCGTCTTGGCTTAGCTGTATCCTGTTCTTAATGTGCTGAGACTTTAAAATGTGTTTCACAAAAGGATGGGGGAAGGGGAAGGTACTATACACATGTCCCTCTAGTTCAGTCATAGTTATGTCAGAGAACTGCACTCATTGCTACAAGGCTTAGCACAGGGAGGAGAAGGGTGACAGACAGCAAGAAGGGGGCCCCTTTAGGGGTAAGCAGTGAAGACGGTATGGAGTTGAGTGAAGATCGTTTGCTTTACCCTAGAAGCAGAAGGCACCACGCGTCCTTCCGGGACTGGTGTGACCGTGGAGCCCCCGAGCTGGGGGAGGGTGTGTGTGCACTGGCTCCGGGTCCCAGACCCTACTCACCCAGCTGGAGCTGTTGACAAGTCCGGTTTGGGTTCTGCCCGATCTGGCATTTGTAAATGGCCCCGGGATG